GCCTAGCATAACTGTGTGAGGGGTGCACTCTGGGTGATGCACGAGCAGCAAAGACTGGTGTGATGCGAGTCCACACCTCAGGTGCAAATGGGCTGAGGGGCTCCAGGACTCCCGCCCTTGTGGTCACCTTTGGAGGAGCTCTTGGGGGCAGAGGCTAGGGCTAATTTCTCTGTGATCCCAGAGTCCTCAGGGCCTGGCCCATCCCAGCCCTCGGTGCAGGATCCACAGGAATGGGTGTGTGCCTCAGGAGGGGAGGTCTTACAAAGAGGTTCCCTTTTGGAGGCTGGAGGATGGATCTGAAGGAGCTTTGTGGGACCAATGGATGCCCCAGGGAGGAACGGGAAGACACAGGCAGCTTGTGGGAGAGGAAAGAGGACACAGCTCAGCACAGCCTGCTCCTCTCCTCTGCTCTGCCTTCCCACAGAGCCCCGCCTTTACCCTGCCTCACACCTCGCTTGAGACCCAGTTCATCCCGGCAGACGGTCTGTTAGCTCCTTTTACCAGAGAAGTTAAGGTACTTGGACAGGCCGCACAGCCAGGGAGGGCTGGAACTGGGGTTTTAAGCCTGCTGCCCTGTCCCCCTCTGCTGCAGCCTCCTGTGCCCACAGGACCCGAGGTGTCCCTGCCTCTGTAGACTCCCTCTCACTGCTCAGCTCCCGCTCTTTTCCTTCTCCTCCTGGTGGCCTGAGACTTTCTCACTGAGTCATGTTCTGGGTTTCTGACTTTGTGGTCCCTGTCCCTCTCCACCTCTAAATTTCTCTTTCAGAAATGCAGCCCAGGCCTCTCACTGTGCTCGTGCTTTCTTTTCCTGCCTCGTCCCCAGCACACTTCCCCCAACTCTCACTCATCTACCCTCTTACAGCCTCATGGGCTGTGCCCGGCAGGCTGGAGGGACACAATCCTCGGTGCTGGTGGCCCCGTGCCCCGAGTCTCCACTAACACCCATCTCCTCCCCAGCTCCCCGTGTCCTTGCGCTCAGCCTCCCCCACACCTGGCCTTCCCATATCGGCCCTTTTAAGAGCCTTCTGGGTCCCTGGGGGAGCTCAACACTCCACACATTTTAAGGAGAGAGCCCAGGTGGCCGTTAGATTGGTGAGGAATCTAGCGTCTGGTACTGGAGCTTCTGTAAGAAAGTCTTCTCGAAGCCCCTAGCAGCCTGTAGCAGCCCTGAACCCTCCCCACGCTGAGGAGCGCACAGCAAGCAAGGTCAGGGCGCACTGACGGTCCTATGGTGGGCACGGCTTGGAGATGGGAGAGCAAAGTGGGAGGGGCCTGAGAGTGGGATGCGTGGCCTCCCCGGGGTCCAGTAGCACCTGGTCCAGGGCACGGATTCTGGGGACTGGCCACAGGCCTGGGAACCACAATCTCTAGAGGCAGATCTCAGGAATCCCCATTGTAACAGCTTCATGGCACAGCCTGTAACCCACAGGTATGACAGTGCAGTATGACAGCAGGGAGCCTTCCTCATTTTGAGTCTTGATGGAAACCGGCTTGAAAAGGAGCCTTGAATACAGAGTGGACACAAGGTGAAGAAAACTGGTGTCCAGGCTAATGGGTTAGGGACAGTTTTCTGTTTTATCAAAACTTTCTTTTTTTGTTTGTTTGTTGATTCTCACCAGAGGATATTTTTTCCACCGATTTTTTTTTTTTATAGAGTGGAAGGAAGGGTGGGAGGGGGAGTAGAGAGAGAGAGAGAGGGAGGGAGGGAGAGAGAAGAGAGAAACATCAATGTGAGAGAAACACATTGACTGGTTGCCTCCCGCAGGTGTCCCGGCTGGGGCGGGGATCATACCTGCAACCCAGGTACTCACCCTTGACCAAGAATGGAACCTGTAACCCTTTTATATGCAGGCTCCAACCACTGAACTACTAGGGCTCCAACCCTTTTGTAATGTGATCGTATGACTTTTCATTTATTATTATTGTTTTTCCTCAAAATGGAAAGGCACACATTCTTGTGGGCAGAGCACTGGATCAGAGGACCAGGGTTCTTGACTGGCTGTGCCAAGAATGTGGCATGTGAGTTTGATAAGTCAGTTTTCCATATTTACTATGTACCTGTCTCATAACTGTGACCCTCCCATCCTAAACATACTTGTGCATCTTTGCTCCCACCTCACCTGGGCCAGCCTTCTGGATGCTCAGCGGGTTGATGGGATGAGAGAGGGGCTGGGGGGGCAATGATAGGGAAGTTAGGGGATCCCAGGGTGCCTCATCTCCTGCTCCTCCTTCCCACCACTCCAGCCCTGGGGCCTGGGAAGAGGTGAGGTGGCAAGAGGAGGAGGAGGTGTCTTCTTCTCACCCAAGCTGACGGAGGGGAGGGACTGGCAGTGGTGACACCAGGGCCACTCAGCCCCTGCTTTTCACAAGCACTTTCTTGGGTGGAAGAAATTGGAGGGAGGAGAAGGAGGAATCTGTGCTTAATGAGCCAGATTGTAAGACCCTCTGACAGTCCATCAGGTGGTAGGGATACCACCCCAGCCACCCTCTTCCTCCAGGGACATGTCCCCAGGTCCACCTGATTCTGTCCTAATCTCTTCGTCCCCAGAAAGCTGGGTAGGAGCTCTGGGCCATCCTGTTCAGAGGCGGGGGGGTGGATCACTTGACCTGAGGATTAGTGTGGAAGGGAAGGGGGGACAGCAAGGGAAGAACAAGACTCCATTTGGCCTTCCACAGCCAAGCACTTAGCAATAGTTCCCCACAAAGAGGTGTCAGCCTTCAACAGTCTCATGTCTCCTGGGGACAGTCATGCAGGGAAGTCTTACTGAAATCTTGCATGTTTCCCAAAAAGTAGCCAAGGATCCCAAGGTTACCCTCTCTTTCAAGCAATGCTGCCCCACTTGGAACAACAGGCAGAAACTTCCCCCGTCCTTAAAGCAAGGGGAAATGATGGGTAAAAGGGTGGGAGGCGGCCTGTCCTCAGTTCTGGTGTTGTCGTATATCTGGCCTCCATTCTCAGGGGATGTACTGATTTTCTCTTCCCCCACCCTCCCTGGGTCATGCCCGCCCCCTGGGGTCCCCAGCTTTGCCTTCACCTGCCAACCTGCCTCTTGGTTCAGCTCTAGTTGGGAGCAGAGAGTCCCCCTGGACGCCTAAGGGTGAAGCCCTGTTGGGCTGGGACAGAGATATAAAGATGGGGCCAGGCCCCAGGGGAGAACTGAAGAGGGCTGGGGAGGCGGGTGAGAGGAAAGGTCAGCCTTTACCAAATGAAAGTATTTTTCAGAACACTCTTTAAAATGTAAATCTTTATCTATATATTGACATGCAAAAAATTCCATGACACCTTGTGGAGTAAAAAAGAAAAACACATTACAAAGCAGCATGCGTGGTGTTTATACAAGAATATGTATGTGTGTAAATTTGGGGTGATTTATACAGTCCTGATTTTACTTTTACTGCTTAAATTTTCTATATTGTTGTTGTTAATTTTTACCTGAGGATATTTTTTCCCCATTGATTTTAGATAGAGTGGAAGGGAGGGAGGGAGGGAGGGAGGGAAAAAGAGAGAGAGAAAAAAACATCGATGTGAAAGAGACACATTGATTGGTTGCCTCCTGCACGACCCTGACTGGGGCCTGGGATTGAACCTGCAACCCAGATACATGCCCTTGACTGGAATTGAACCCGAAACCCTTTGGTCTTTGGGCCCACGCTCTAACCACTGAGCAAACTGGCAAAGGCTACATGAGTACGTGTGTGTGTGTGTGTGTGTGTGTGTATTTTTTTCCCATTGATTTTTAAAGAGAATGGAAGGGAAGAGAGAGAGAGAGAGAAAGAAACATCGCCTCCTGCACGCACCCCGACCAGGGCTAGGGATCGAACCTGCAACCGAGGTACGTGCCCTTGACCGGGAATCGAATCAGAGACCCTTCAGTGCACGAGCTGATGCTCTAATCACTGAACAACGCTGACCAGGGCTGTTTTATCTTTATATACAGGAAAAGTCCCAATGATGCTATTTTCAATTGGGGTGAAAAGGATAGTTTTTATCATTAAAGGACTATAACTACATTAGTCAAGAGAAAAGGAAAAATAGAGACAGAAAAGCCATAGTCCTATCACCTGAGCACCCCTTCAGTACACATGGCGGGTTTCTTTCCTGTTAGCTGGCTTCTGCGTCTGTTCAAAGCAGCTTTTCCATCTAGATGTAATGATGGATTGGAAGGTGCTGCACGGGTACCCCTTCAGCCCCTCTGAAAAGAAGATCTTCTACTGAGGCACTTGAGGCTGACTTTCAGACAAAGGAAATGATTTTCCCGGGTCACACACACCTGAGTGACAGGCAGAGCCAGTCCAGAGAGTATGAGCACTGACAGCCCAGTGCTAGTTAGAGTGCCCTTCTAGTGCCCCTGGTGCCATGCCCAAGCCAGGGAGCTTTTGTGGGCCCAGCCTGGCCCAGGGCCCTGCAAGCCAAGGTTGCTGTGGGATGTGTTCCTCAAGGAACCAGGTTCCAGGTCTGCCCTGGGCCTCGAGGGACAGGATGCAGCTGACACAGCCCACCTGGGCCTCTGGCAGTGAGAAAGCGCAAACACTTCGGGCAAAGCCACTTAGCACAGAGCCTGGGTACAGTGGGCATCCGTTGAACGTTCATGGTGGAAGTGGCACTGAGCCTGCAAGTGCTGCGAGAAGGTCCATTGGGTCTCATCTGAGGCATCACGGAAGGCTTCCCGTAGGAGGGGGCCTTTGAACTGAGCCTTCAAAAGTGGGGGGGATTTCTATGAAGGTCCAGAGAAGAGAAACGGGCTGGCGTTTCAGGTAGATGGGCTGATTCTCTCAGAAGGCAAAGTCTGTAACTGCAATCGAGGCGCGCGGGGACTCGCCGGTCTACACCGTGGGGGCCTTCCAGTTCTGGTCGCCCGCGTACAATTTGTCAAGTATTAGCCACGAGGGGGCGGGGTGAGGCGGGGCGGGGCCGAGGTGGCGGGTGTGTGGAGCATCCAGAGAGCTTCATAAAGCCACAGCAAAGGCGCCGCGAAGCTGGTGACAGCGGCCTGCTAGAGAGGGAGCCCGGGAGCTGCCGCGCGCCCGCCAAACGGGGCGCAGGACCCAGGCGTCCGAGTCCCGATTCCGGTGGGGCCCCCGCCCCCGGGGCCCCCGCCCCGCCCCCGCCCTCCAGACCCGGACCCTCTGGGCCGCCCCCGCGCGAAGGGGGCTGGCCCTCGACGGCCGCAGCCAGGTGCCCTCCCGCCCCGTATGGGCATCGTGGAGCCGGGCTGCGGAGACATGCTGACGGGCACCGAGCCGATGCCAGCGAGCGATGAGGGCCGGGCGCCGGGCGCCGACCCGCAGAACCGCTACTTCTACCCGGAGCCAGTGGTGCAGGACGCGGCCGAGCGTCGCGGGGGCGCCAGCCTGGGGGCGCCCTACGCCGGGGGCGCCCTGGTGTCCGCCCCACCGGGCCGCTTCCTCGGAGCCTACGCCTACCCGCCGCGACCCCAGGCCGCCTGCTTCCCCGGGCCCGGCGAGCCCTTCCCGCCGACGCCGGGCGCCGAGGGCTACCCGCCCGGGGATGGCTACGCGGCCCCAGACCCGCGCGCCGGGCTCTACCCGGGGCCGCGCGAGGACTATGCGCTGCCGGCCGGGCTGGAGGTGTCAGGGAAGCTGAGAGTCGCGCTCAACAACCACCTGTTGTGGTCCAAGTTCAACCAGCACCAGACGGAGATGATCATCACCAAGCAGGGACGGTGAGTGAGGCGCGCGCCGCAGCGCCCGCCGCTTGCCTCGGTCCAGCCCGCCTGGAGCCCGGACGCGTGTTTTTATGTTTCTCTCTCTCTCTCTCTCTCTCTCTCTCTCTCTCTCTCTCTCTCTCTCTCTCTCTCTCTCTCTCTCTCTCTCTCTCTCTCTCTCTCTCCTGTCTAGACTTGCTAGTGTCTCCGTGCCCCACGCTGTTTTGATTTAGGTTTTAGAGAGAAGGAGAGGGGCTGGTAGTGAAAAGTTACCGGGGTTGTTTACTCCGGGAGATGACACTAACGGGCAGACTCAAAAGAGGGATGGATGAGAGTGGTTTAGAGGTTCACCCAGAATTGGTGCGTGCCCCCCTCTCGGCCTGAGTCCGGGTAGCAGTAGGCAGAGGGGTTGCTAATACTGTATGTCTGACAGGTCAAGACACCTCTTAGCCCTTGTGTGTGGGGACTGGAGAGGGAGGGCAGAGTCTTGCAATGTAACCGGCACTAACCCAGCGCTCATCTTTGGGGGCCCCTGGTGCCCACCTCACCCAGCCTCTTGCTGCTGCTGTTCACAGGTCAGTTTTGGGAGGGGTGGTAAGACTAGGATTTAGTGACATGGAGACACGGTCGCCAAGTTTCCTTTCCGGTAGTACTTTGAGTTCATATATCTGGTGTGTGTGTGTGTGTGTGTGTGTGTGTGTATGTGCAAGTGTGTTGGGGGATTGGTGAAGTGTGTGTGTGTGTGTGGGGGGGCACAGATCCCTTCCAAGAACAGGCTGCTGCTGGAGGGCACAAATGCCATGGGCCCAAGCAGGCGAAGCTAACCCATGGGTCCCAGCTGGCAGCCAGTCCCATATTCCGTACCCTTTGAGTTCTGTCCCCTGAGACCCTGTCCACATATTCACTGGTCCATCCTGAGGAACCCATGGCTTAGGGCCCCCTGGGCTCAGTATATGAAGGGTAGGGTTTGGGGCCGGGTGTGCTGTTTCCGGAGAGAGCCTCCTGCGTGGGGAAAGAAAGAGAAACCTGCGACTTATGTGGTATTTGTTTAGTAAGCAAGACTCTGAGCAGGCCCTGCCTGTGTCTGGCATGTGAGAGTGTGCACCCACCTTTCTCAGGAGGGCCCATGTGGGCAGGGACCAGCAAGTACCTGTCTGTGGAGGGGCTGTGTCATCAGTGGACCTGGGAAGTTTTGAAGAAGGTACATGAAGTATGGGGTTTGAGCAGAATGAGGGGAGAGGCCATACTGGGCCTGGGGTTGGCATTCAATCTGGGTATCACTGGAACATTCTTCCCTCCTGATTACTTCTGTGGGGTGGCCTGGGATTGAGGGACCTGCCCACCCACCACAATTGGTTCAAGTTGCTGAGCTGTTCCTCTTTCCCTGGGATGGCCCCAGGAAAGTTGGCATTTTCTTCAATGGCATGACCTTCATCTCCTAAGCCTTCTAATAATTCCTCTCTGCTCTCCCCAACCCTAACCCTTCTGGGTACACCCAGGCACAACCCAGGCTTCTAGTCCCACTGTGTCTGAATTGGAGGGGACCCAGAAGATTTTGTCCAGTCCCCTCCTTGCACAGACAAGGAAATGGGCCCAGAGACAGAGACTCTTGTGAGATTACACAGCACACCCGCCTCTGGCAGAACTGGCACCAGAAATCAAATGGTATCTGCCTGAGTTTCTCCCACGGCCAGGAGCAAAAACAGCACCCACGCTGTCCAAGGGCCTTGACGCATTCAGAGTGCTTTCACTTCCATTATTTCTCTGTGCGCTAGATAGGTCAAGCGGTCTCCCCATTACACAGCTGAGGGCACTGAGGCGCAGGGATAGTAGGTAGCTTACATTCCGTCACGCAGAGATCTGAACTTGGGCCTCCACCCTGTTGTGTGGTCAGGAAATCTTCCCACCCTAGAGCCTGGGTTCCCACACACCCTGCTGTCAGGCCCCAGCCCCTCCAGCCCCGAGAGATGGGGTGGATGGACCATCAGCCAGAACTTCAGGAACCTGATGGGTGCTGGGCCAGCTCTGGTCTGCCCACAGGTTGTTTAGGGAGGTGTCTCGGGGGATGCATCTCCGAGTGTGGGTCCCTCATCTCTGCTCCTACGGCCTCCTTCTTTCTTTTCTGTTTCTGCTAAATAATTCTCTCTTGACAAGTTTTGTTGTCTCCTTTTTAGATCCATACACTTACTTTTCTTTTAATTATGAAAAATTCCAGTATAGTTAACTCTCAAACAATATGGGTTTGAACTGAGTGTCTTAACTTATACATACACCTCTTTCTTTTCAATGAATACTGTAAATGCATTTACTCTTCCTTATGATTTTTTTTTTTAGTAACATTTTCTTTTCTCTAGCTTACTTTATTATAAGGATACAATATATACCTATAACATAAAATATGCATGAATTGACTGTTTATGTTATCCATTAGGCTTCGGTTACTGGTCAACAGTAGGCTATTAGTAGTTAAGTTTTTGGGGAGTCAGAAGTCATAAGTGAATTTTCAACTGCATTAGGGTTGGCGCCCTTAACCCCTGTGTTGTTCAAAGGTCAACTGTATATACAAAAGTAAAGTGAAAAATGTAATGGACCTCCATCTACCCATACCCAGCTTCAACAGTTGTCCACTCTGGTCCAATCTTGTCTCTTCTTTATCCTCACTCACTTCACTTCTACCCCTCTGGTCTGCAACTGTATTAGTGATAGTGTAAAGAATTAGTAAATCTGCCCTGGCCGGTTTGGCTCAGCGGTTAGAGCCTCGGTACGCGGGCCGAAGAGGCCCGGGTTCAGTTCCCGCTAAGAGCACGTACCTCGGTTGCAGTTTGTCCCCGGCCCTGGTTGGGGTCGTGTGGGTGGCAGCCACTCGATGTGTCTCTCTCACATCGATGTTTCTCTCTCTTTCTTCCTCTTTCTCTCCCTTCCACTCTATATCTCAAGATAAAGTACAAAAATGTCCTCGAGTGAGTATATAAAAAAAGAGAATTAGTAAATCCTAGACACAATTTTATTTTATGCTTAAAAATTTCTTTATGGACCTCTAAAAATGGCTTTTAAAAAATAAACACAAGCCCTGGCCGGTTTGTTCAGTGGTTAGAGCGTCAGCTTGTGGTCCAGAGAGACCCGGGTTCGGTTCCCGCTACGGGCACATACCTGGATTGCAGTTTGTCCCCGGCCCTGGTTGGGTCATGCAGGAGGTAGCCATCGATGTGTCCCTTTCACGTCGCTGTTTCTCTCTCTCTCCTTCCCTTTTTGCTCTATCTGAACAAAAAGTGAAAAAAATGTCCTCGAGTGAGGATAAATAAATAAATAAAAAATAAAAATAAACACAAGCCCTAGCCAGTTTTTCTCAGTGGTTAGAGCATAGGCCCAAGGACCAAAGGATCATAGGTTCAATTCCTATCAAGAGCATATACCGGTTAGGGTTCGAGTGGGAAGCAACCAATCGATGTGTTTCTTTCACATCGATGTTTCTCTTTTTCTCTCTCTCTAAAATTCAGTGGGGCTCAGCCAGTGTGGCACAGTGGATTGAGCATCATCCCATGGAGGTCTTGGTTTGATTTCCGGTCAGGGCACATGCCTGGGTGTGGACTCAGTCATAGTGGGGGGCGTGCAGGAGGCAGCCGATTGATGTTTCCCTCTCACATTGATGTCTCTATCACTCTCTAAAAATAAATAAATAAAATAAAAAATCAATGGAAAAAATATCCTCAGGTGAAGACTAACCAAAATAAAATAAAATAAAATAAAAATAAACACACCATTAGCAAACCTGAAAAGAAATGCCTGAATGTCATCAAAATGTCCTGATTGTTTTATAAGCATGTACGCGTGCATGTATGTGAATGTGTTTTACAATCCTTACACGTCTGATCACCCCGAGGGACTGCTTTCGGACACTACAGGCTCCCTTTTGGAAGAGAGTAGAGGTCTCTCACCATATCTTTTGATTCCTCCCTTTGGATCAGGCCTCAGGAGCCCCATGGTGAGGTGACTAGGACAGAGGACACACCACCCCCAGTTCAGTCCCATCAGCCCTGAATCACCCCATATCTGAGCTTGGGCTCCAGTGATCTGGGACATTGGTGGCCATTTTTTTCTGCCACTGGCTTCTGGAAAGCTAGAGTTGGGCTCAGAGAACAGCACCCTTTCTGTGCTTCTGTTTTGGCAGGCTGGCCTGTCCCTCCGTGTGTTCCAGTGACCTGCCAGTCACCACCACATCACCCACGGCCTTCTTCCTTTTTGAAAAATCCTTCCAGCCTCAGGCCCACCCACAGCCCTACAGCCTTTTGCATTGAGCTGACTCACTTGCTCCCAGATCCTTCCTCTCCCTCCCACCCTAGTCCCACCCCTCAGTATGGACCAGCGACAGTCATGCTGTCCTCCAGGGGCAGGAACAAATGGGGGAGGGGGGCGGGGGCGCACAGTGATTCCAGCTCAGGGACTGATCCTGGCTGCTCAGATGGAGCTGGGAGGGGGATATTGAGGGCAAACTGATTGACTGGCTAACTGGAGACTTTGATGTTCAAGTTTGTGTGTTAGTGGAGACTTGGGGTGCCTGATGGTGTCCAGCCCAGACCTGTGTTGTGTTTCTGGGTGGCACCGTATTTGTGCTATGAATGTGTTGGCGAGCATATAAGAGTTGACGGTAGATATTCTCAGTAGAGGAAGAGAGAGGCTGGTGTCTGGGTGTGGGTGTGTGGGTGTACATTAATTGCTGGCAATCCCCACTTTTCTGGGTGAGATTAGTTGATTATTATAATTAAGATAACTTTGGGTAGTTCTGTTGTTAAGTAGCTCACTTTGCGTTTGTGTGTGTATGTGTGAAGTAAGGGGTTGATAAAACAATCTTGGTCCCGTACAATCCTCTGTCGCTGGCCTCACGGCCGTTGTGGTTTTTCCCCTCTCTACATTTCCAATTCCAAGAACTTTATAAATCTTTCAAAACATTTTTAGATTTAAGGCTGCTTTAGTTTGGGCTGACTGGCTTTCGTTCTCCTAGGGCAGGTGAAAAGCGCTTGGCTTTCTGTTCGGCCGTTTGCTAATGGCCGTTTGATTTCTATTAAGTGGGTCTGAGGCCGGTGGGAGGGGGAGACCCCCTGATTGGGAGTGCATTTTGCATTTTGATATGGACAACGCATGGCCAGAGAACCCTCCTGAAAGGTGGTACCAATTTACACCCCCACCAGCAGTGTACAAGAGGACCCGTTTCCCCAGGCTCATCAGCATTACATAGATATCACTAATTTTGAAACATTTTGCCAACAGGATGGACAAAAACTGTCTCCTTTTAATTTGTACTTAGCGGCAGTGAATTGGAGCATGTCAGAGGTGTTTGGGATCGGGGGAGGATACAGTGACACTGCAGATATCTCTAGGCAGGATGGTCTTTAGGGGCACCAGAGGAATCTGGGGTCTTGGACCCTGTCCCCTGAGAGCAGAATGATCAGTGGTTTTTTAGGGGGGTCTCAGTTGGGCACCAGACCCATCTTTACTCCCTGTTCTTTCCCAGCAAGGTGTCATGTAAATCAGGGTCTATTTTGGGATTCCAGCTGGTGGTGATTCTAGACTTTTAGGGTGAAATTGAGACCTCCCTTCTCCTCTCCCCTTCACCCATCCTCTTCCTGTGTCCTCCATTTCCCTCTACTAGTGACAAAGGAAACGGAGGGACAGAGACCGCAGCCTGTGCTCTGCAGTCGGGGGCTGGCTCTGCTGTCCCACCACGGAGTCATCACCAACCCTCTTCAAGCCGCGTTTTCTTCAAGTACAAACTGGGAAATAACATTTTATATCTCAAAGGACGGGTTCAATGAACTGGCTGCTGCATAAATAGAGGCTGAATGAACATGTGCCATTCTCTCCTTTATCCCTGCAAGTTTGGACAGGAACCCGAGACCACATAGAGAACATGTGAGGGCCTGACCACCGTCATAGAATGAGTTGGTGGTAGGAACGGATAAATATTCTGTCACCCTCCAGTGCTCAAGGCCTCATTCCTAACCTTCGATTTCTCAAGTTGACTGGCCTGCCAAGCCCCTGGGACCCAGGGCGTGGGACTGGGATGCTGGACTCCTGCTCAGGGTCCTTCAGCCTGGCCAGAGGGCTTTGACAGCTCTGGCCTGGAAGAAAGTGGGATGGGGTGGGATGGGAGAACGGGGTGAGCTGAGTTTCACATCTTTTGAACTTCTTAAGAGCGGTCAGAGAAAAGATGGACAGGAGTTATTATCTCCACTTATGGGTGAAGAAACTGAGAGTTGGTTTGACAATTAACTTATCCAGTGTCACAGGGCTGCTAAGTCTCTTGATCTCAGCCCAGGAGAGTCTGAGGAAGACCGGAATCTGATAATGCCCTCCTGTGAGACCTCCCCAGGGTCATTATGGGTGTTTCTCTGGGACCCTCTGGGGACTGGGATCCACCCAATCGTGTTCCTAGGGCCCTAGAACTCTTTCCCCCAGGCTTCCTGACTTGGTCTTTCTTCCTATCTATGGAACTTCTCATAGGCGGAGGGGAGACATGTGGGAATGAAAAATAATTCTGATGACGGTAACTCTGACATCCTGAAAACTCTGCTCGTCCTGCATATGTTAGAAGAGAAAGGGTATGTCACTGGAGATGACGATGGCTCGTGCTGGTAGAGGTGCTGGTTGTCGTGATGGTGGTGATGGTGGAGGGGGTATCGTAGTGATGATGATAGTGGAGTTGATGGTTGTGGTGATGGTTGAGGTTTGGTTGTAGTGATGGTGGAAGTGCTGGTTGTAGTGATGGTGGTGATGGTGGAAGTGTTGGTTGTGGTGATGACAGTGATGGTGAAGTGGATACTGTGGTGGTTGTAGTGGTGGTGGTAATATAATGGTGGAGGGGATAAAATAATGGTGCCACGGAGGTGATGGTGGTGGTGACGGGGGCGGTGATGGTGGAGGTATTTGTTGTAGTGATGGTGGTGATGGGACAGTGGTAAAGGGGCGGTGATGGTGGAGGTGGCGGAGATGGCTGTGGTATGGGAGTGCTTCTTTCTCTGAATTATTACCCTGGCACAATAATGCAGCATTCCGACACCCACTTCCCCACTTTCCCTGAAAACCACGAGCATGAGGACTGTCTGAGTCCTCTTTCAGGTAGATGGAAAGCTCCACCTAGGACTTTAGCTACTTTTCTGGAGGCCCAGGCCTGGAGAAGGCCATACTACAGACATCAGGCCCAGGAGGATGGGGCAGGAAGAGCTCGTGGTTGGGTGCCATGCGGCTAGGAGTACGTTAACACCGTGAGAGCCACAGTGGAGAAAATGGATGTCAGACTGAGGCCAGACTAGGGCTCGGGGGTCTGTGGCTCGAGGACTTAGTGGGAACTGCCTGTGGGGGGCTGTCTTGAGGCTTTAGTCCCCTCGAGGAAGCAAACTAAGGTTACAGACAGTGGTGTGCAACTAATGTCTTGCAACTGACCCTCTGAAAGAAAAACATTTTTAGAAGCCCTGATTCATAGTGTTTGCTGATTTCCGTGGTATAAATACTCCGATGGTGGCTGATTTCAAACTACCCACATGGTATTACTGAATGCGGAACTGGGAAGAGTCATGGATTAGGGCATATTGTCTAGATTTCCACATACAGATACAATAGACGTAAATATACTCAACAGCAGAGACGATAGGAAATGTAGTGAAAGATTTGGGAAGTGATGATTTTTGAGTATTTATTGCCTTGGTTTATAATGTACAGGGTGGCCCTGGCCAGTTTGGCTCTGTGGACCAATGAGTCGCAGGTTTGATTCCGGTCAAGGGCACATACCTCGGTTGCAATTCGTCCCCGGCCCTGGTCAGGGGTCATGCAGGAAGCAGCCACTTGATGTGTCCCTCTCACGTCGATGTTTCTTTCTCTCTCTCTCTCTTCCTCTCTGTCCCTCTCACTCTATCTGAACAAAAATGGAAAAATATCCTCAGGTGAGGATAAAAAAATACACACACACACACATAGTATAGGGTGGAGCAAAAATAGGTTTACAGTTGTTCATGTGAAAAATAACATAAGAACAAACTGTTTCGCGTACTCACAACTATAAACCTACTTTTGCCCCATCCTGTATTTCATTGTGAGTTTATATAACTTAATTTTTAAATTTGGCTATTTAACAAATGGCTGGCAGACTTCCCGAACATGTCCAGTTGGCTCTTGTGAGGGTGGAAGCTGACTCCACACCAGTGATGGTCTTTGCTCATGGTGTGGCTGTCTGAGGGGTGGGGCTGGTGGACATCGCTGGGTTGCTTTGTTCTCCCCAGACGGATGTTTCCATTCCTGTCATTCACTGTGGCTGGGCTGGAGCCCACCAGCCATTACCGGATGTTCGTGGACGTGGTCTTGGTGGACCAGCACCACTGGCGGTATCAGAGCGGCAAATGGGTGCAGTGTGGAAAGGCCGAGGGCAGCATGCCAGGTATGTGCCAGCTTGGGGGGAGTGGGCACTCTTTTTCTCCAAGACTGGGCGCCCCCTGGTGGATCCAGGAGGAACCTCTAAGCTCCAGCACCTGGGAATTGAATTTCCCACCCCACCCCACCCCATCCTTCCTATCCTGCGTCACCCCTTCCCACTTCTCCCTTCCATTCTGCTTATCATCTCTCTTCTACTTTGCTCTGACCTGTCTTCTGCTCTGTCCTCTGCCCACACCTCCCCTTTCCCTGCCTCCTCTGGTCCTCCTCCTGCATCCTTTTTGATATTCCCTTCAGAACAGGCAAAGAAGGCCCACATCACTGTGGGTCTGCCCTGGGCTGCGTGCCAAACAGGTTAACTGTCCACAGGAAACCGCCTGTACGTCCACCCAGATTCCCCCAACACTGGAGCTCACTGGATGCGCCAGGAAGTTTCGTTCGGGAAACTAAAGCTCACGAACAACAAAGGGGCCTCCAACAATGCCACTCAGGTAGGACTTGTCCCCGAGGGCTAGTCCTGTCCCCGCCCCCTGGGACAGAGGCCACGGGGTGTCCTGCAGGCTGATACTGTTTTTGTCAGAGTCACTTTTCTTCCTCTCTGACTCTGTCTGTTCCTACCCACCATGAGGGGAAGAAGTAGGAAGAAACTGCATCTCAGGGCACACAGAGTGTCACTTTCAGGCTGACACAGGCCAAGCCAGGCTGGGGGGTTTCTCCACCAAATTCCAGGCTGCCATCACTAGGGTACCATGCCGGGCATAGAGTTGGTACCTGTGGTCCCAGGGAATGGATGTCCTGAAAAGCCCTGTTTGTGCTAATATCTCGGTCACAGTGGACATCTGGGGATAGGAAATGGGGCAAGAGGGTAGAATTGGTTCCTCCAGGGGCCTGGGGACTGGAGTTGGAAGGCCTGGGAGAAGTTACATGGTGTCAAAAAGGGGAATGGACGTGATGACCTCAGGGTGGGGGATCCTTCAAACTCCCTCCTCCCCACCCCACAACCTTCTTGCTCTCTCTCAGATGATTGTGCTCCAGTCCCTCCATAAGTACCAGCCCCGGCTGCACATCGTCGAGGTGAACGATGGAGAGCCAGAGGCGACCTGCAATGCTTCCAACACGCATATCTTTACTTTCCAAGAAACCCAGTTCATCGCCGTGACTGCCTACCAGAACGCCGAGGTGAGGCTGCCCCAGGAGCTGAGGGTGGGCCTGAGCCTGGGGCGGGGAGGGCCGGGCAGGGAGACTGGGAGAGATTTTTGAAGTTTCCTAGCCCCACACTCAGAACTCAGGAGACTCTTTTTCCCCTCTCTCTAGATTACTCAGCTGAAAATTGATAATAACCCTTTTGCCAAAGGATTCCGGGAGAACTTCGAGTCGTAAGTGCCACTGGTTTCAACTCACCTTTGCAGAGGCCTCCTCTTGCTCCCTCCTGAGACCAGGCCCCCAGACGTGTGCTCAGCACATTTCTTTCTCTGCCCCTGAGGATGGAAGAGCTGGGATGGGTGCTGGAGGGTGGGTGGGCCAGGAAAGAAGGATTCAGGGTGGGTGGGGCAGCAAGCAGGCTCATGAGTGAGCGGTACTGCTCCTGACCCCTGTCTTCTTGCCTCCATTTTTTTTAGCATGTATGCATCTGTTGACACCAGTGTCCCCTCCCCGCCTGGACCCAACTGTCAGTTGCTTGGGGGAGACCACTACTCTTCACTCCTGCCCAACCAGTATCCTGTTCCTAGTCGTTTCTACCCTGAACTTCCTGGCCAGGCCAAGGATGTGGTTCCCCAGTCTTACTGGCTGGGGCCCCCCCGGGAACATAGCTACGAGGCCGAATTTCGAGCAGTCAGCATGAAGCCTGCATTCCTGCCCTCGGCCCCTGGGCCTACCGTGTCCTACTACAGAGGCCAGGAGGTCCTGACACCTGGAGCTGGCTGGCCGGTGGCCCCCCAGTACCCTCCCAAGATGGGTCCGGCCAGCTGGTTCCGCCCCATGCGGACTCTGCCCATGGAGCCTGGCCCTGGTGCTTCAGAGGGGCGGGGGCTAGAGGACCAGGGCTCCGCCTCCTTGTGGACTGAAATCACCCCGCTCCGACCGGAGTCCGGGGATTCAGGACTGGGCGAAGGAGACTCTAAGAGGAGGCGTGTGTCCCCCTATCCTTCCAGTGGCGACAGCTCCTCCCCTGCTGGGGCCCCTTCTCCTTTTGATAAGGAAACTGAAGGCCAGTTTTATAACTATTTTCCCAATTGAGCAGATGGCATGATGAAAGGAACAGAAAGAGCGTTATCAGGTTGGAGGACACCAACTAATGACAACAGACTCAGGACTGAGTGGTCCCCAGTTTCCTCCGATCCTTCTCCTTTGGTAGTTGGTGGAGAAAGAGGGGGGCCAAAATGGATTCTGGGGTTCACTGGCTGCTCCTTGGCCCGTGGTGAACCCTGAAAGGAGTGTTCCCTCCCCTTCCTGTGCCCTAACTACAGTCATTTACCTGGTGCTGCTTCTGGCTGTGGGTTCCCAGCTGGAGAACAGAAAACAGAGCAAGCCGGTCCCGGACACAAAGAAGCATCCTCTCTTCTGGGTGGGCGGGTGGGGGGTTCAGGCGGGGAAGTAGAGACTCACTTCTCTTCCTCTGCAGAGGAACTTTCAGCATTTTTATTTGCGTGTTTGTTAATCCCTGATCTGAAAATAAAGGTACATGGATTTTCTGACAGCCAGCCAGCCAGGGTCAGGGAGAGGACTCAGGTGACTTTGGGCAGCTGGCCCGGGCCCCACCCACTCAGAGAGCCCCTCCCGAGGGAGGGCCTGGGAATGGGAGGGATGGTCCCATCTCAAGAAGCAAGGTCCTGGGAGGGTTGATTATGTGTGCGCGCGCTTTTTTCTTTTTCTTTTTTGGAATAAGGCGGCTATTTATTGTACAGAGAGTGGTGTCTGGATATATTTCTTTTGTCTTCATCACTTTCTGAAAATAAACATGAAATTGTCAAGTGTATCCTGCTTGGCGCCCGGGTGGGGACATGGGACATGGGGACTGCACTGGGCTCTGGAACAGAACCTGAACGTCCGAAGAACCTGTACCCATTAGAAACCTGAAGTGTCTTGATTCAGGGGATAAACTGAGTTAGAGCAAGAACATATGTCCTACCCTCAGTGCTCAGATTGATTGTAGATGCGTCTTGGGACAGAGAACCGCTCCTGTGTGTACATCCTGAGTTTCGCCGTATTGGAGGAGGGGCGTGGGGCCAAGGCCAGCGGACAGGACTTGGGTGGGGGTAGTGGATCTGAGGGGAAGGACGGCCTTGATCCCTCTTTGCATTTGTAGCAACTTGGTTCTCTATCTTCATGTTAGGGTTGTTCAAAGATTAAAGGAGTAAATGTAAGTTGGGCCACATGAAGCTGCTGTTTCTGTAGGTGAAGAACAGCCAAATATTGGCAATTTCATATGATTCCACCTAACCCATGTGAAGGGTTTAGAACAGTGCTGGGTAAATAGTAAGTGCTGGGTAAATTATTGTTATTCCTGCTATCATTCTCTAGTGCTGTTTCTCTCTCTTTATACAGAGACAAATTGTGTTTGATGCATCCTTCTTTTAAAGAATTTAAGCAATGCAGAAAAACATAAAAACAGCAATAATGATCCCAAATCTTACCACCCATCAATAATTATTAACATTAGATGGGTTAGAATCTAACGGTTCTCAACATGTGGGTCGAACGACCCTTTCACAGGGGTCACATAAGACATAACAGTAGCAAAATTACAGTTATAAAGTAGCAACGAAAATAATTTTATGGTTGGGGGTCACCACAACATGAGGAATTGTATTAAAGGGTCGTGGCATTAGGAAGGTTGAGAACCACTTTCTATCTAACCGTTAGATAGAAAGACAGAAATACTTTTTTTTTTTTTTTTTATCCTCACCCGAGGACATTTTTCCATTTTTTGTACAGATAGAGTGGGAGGGAGAGAGAGAGAAACATCGACGTGAAGGGACACATCGAGTGGCTGCCACCCGCACGACCAACCAGGGCCGGGGGCAAACTGCAACCGAGGTATGTGCCCTTAGCGGGAACCGAACCCGGGTCTCTCCGGACCGCAGGGCAACGCTCTAACCGCTGAGCCAAACCGGCCAGGGCCAGAAATACTTTTATAAAATTGGAATCATACTGAAAATGCTTTTTTTTCTTTATTGATTTTAGAGAGAGAGGAAGGGAGAGGGAGAGATAGATAGAAACATTGATGAGAGAGAACATCGACTGGCTGCCTCCTGCATGCCCCCCACTGGGCATCGGGCCCACAACCTGGGCATGTGCTGTGACCGGGAATCGAACCGTCACCCCCTTGGTGCATGGGTGGGTGCTCAACCACTGAACCACACAGCCAGCCTTCTTTTTAATCAACAGTTAACACTACGGAATTTTAGTTAACAGAATTTATAACAACAACCTGAACCTGTCAAACCATCAAAACCCCCCAAATTCTCCAGTGAATAAAGGGAATTGAATGAATTCAAGATCAATTTTGCTTCACAATAAAAATATTCCCTGAAAGAGCGCTCTAAGATTAAGAAAAGACCTTACAGGAAACAGTAAGAGGTTGGAGTTACTATGTTTGCCTCAGACCAATGTAGGGTATCTCCATTCTAATGGGGGGCAACCTTGTGCTTTGAGGTGTCACCACAGTTCTGTTTGGAGCCTGGGAAACTGTCACATTCACATCTCTTCCCTTCCGGGTCTCTACCCAGAGGCCGTTTTCATCACCACCAGGTCAGAAGAAGGAAGAGATAAGGAGACGTTTTTGGTTTCATCCTTTTCTATTTGAGGGCTCAGAATTTTGTAAATGACATCAGGAGTTTTGTCATATTGTACTCTGTGAGTGCAGACCATCCCTCTCCCTGTCCCACCTTTTGTCACTCTCTGGAGTTAACATTATTAAGTTAGGGTTAATTTCCTTTCTTGGGGAACTGTTGTTGGTAATTACAATACTCTTCTCCCTCACTGTTTTTATTTTTTATTTATTTTTTTCCTCACCAGAGGACATCAGGTAGAGTGGGAGGGAGAGAGAGGAACAGAGAGAGAGAGAGAAACATCGACGTGAAAGGGACACATCGAGTGGCTGCCACCCGCACAACTGACCAGGGCCGGGGACAAACCGCAACCGAGGTACACACCCTTAGCGGGAACCGAACCCGGGTCTCTCAGGAGCGCAGGCCGACGCTCTAACCACTGAGCCAAACCGGCCAGGGCACTCCCTCACTGTTTTTAAATGAGTTTTGTCCACTTCGTTATATAATGAGGTGAAGGGGGTTGTGATCAAGTCATGCTCCATCATTTTTTTCCAGAAGCCTGGCTGTGTATGTTTTGATGCTGTGTCATAAAGGTTCATTACTATTATTTCTTCTCTATAAAATGTACCTTTTACTGATAATATATTACTGAATATATATGAATATATTACATATGATATATATATATACACACACACACACATACACACACAGTCTTTAGTTGATGTAATGCATTTTACCATAAATATTATATGGTCTGGCATTAATATTCCAATTTGTACTTTTGTTATGTCTTTGTCAAGCAGCAAACTAATAGATATAAAAAACACATTTTAAGACTCTTTACTTAAAATATTTTGTTTAGCCTGGCCGGTGTGGCTCAGTGGTTGAGCGTTGACCCATGCACCAAGAGGTTGCCAGTTCTATTCCCTGTAAAGACACATGCCCAGGTTGTGGGCCAAATCCCCAGTGGGGGGCATGCAGGAGGCGGCCAATCGATGTTCTCTCTCATCGATGTTTCTATCTCTCTCTCTCTCCCCCCCCCATTCCTCTCTCTCTAATATCAATAAAGAAAAAATTATAAAAATATTTTCTATTTACTTACAAATATAATGATCACTGATTAACCAACCACACAATTTAAAAACTTAAACACTAATAATATCGTAGCTAGTTATATATTACTACATCCTTATCTCCTAGCTTTTCTTTATAGATAACCAGTATTCCGAATTTGTGTTCATCTTTTTCTTGCTTTCACAGTTATGTTAACACTTTATATATCTCATTATTACATTATTGAGTTTTGTTTTGAACCTTATAAAAAACGTGTATATATATCTTATATTATCTTTCTATACATGAACAAGGGACATTTCTTCATTTATTTAGGTCACTTTTAAGGTCCTTTAGTAAAGTTCTACAATTTATAAGTATAGGTCTTGTACATCTTTTTTATTTATTTGTTTGTTTTTGTTACAGATGTTTCTCATTTCCCCCCCATTGACACCCTCCTCTCCTTTCCCCCACCCCATCCCCAGCTTTGTTGTCTATGTTCATTGGTCATGCATACATGCATGTAAGTTCTGTGGTTTATCTCTTCCCCCACAACCCACCCTCCCGAGGCTTGTCAGTCTGTACCCCACCTCTATGTCTCTGGGTTAATTTTGTTCAGCAATTTGTTTAGTTCATTATATTCCACAAATAAGTGAGATCATGTGATATGTGTCTTTCTCTGCTTGGCTTGTTTCGCTTAGGATAATACTCTCCAGGTCCTTCCATGCCATCTCAAAGGATAAGAGATCTTTCTTTCTTACAGCTGTGTAGTACTCCATTGTGTACATGTACCACAACTTTTTTATCCATTCATCTACTGATGGAAACTTGGGCTGTTTCCAGATCTTAGCTATTGTAAATAGTGCTGCTATGAACATAGGGGTACATATATTCTTTCTGATTCTTGTACATCTTTTATTAGATTTATTCCTTATCTTATTGTGCTGGCCAGAACTTCAAATGCGACTTTCTTGCCTTTGGGGATGATTCCTGACTCCTACTTATCTCACTTTTTCCCTTATGCTGGTTTGTCAATTTGTAAATTATTTTGGTGGTTATTCTGTACATTTTAACGTGCACATTTACTCTAACAAACTTGAATGATATTTTGCCTTCCCTTCTGGTGAATAGAGAAATTTTAGATGAATAGAGAAATTTTAGATCACTTTATTTCTTATCTTCCTCATCCCGACATCATATTGTTTTTCCTCCCAATTTACTGATTTTGAACATTTTAGTTCTGTCTTATTTTAATCCCCACAGATTAGACTCCTGAATTATTTTACTGAGACAGTATTTCTTGGGGCTTATTTTTATGTTACCATTTTTTGTTGTTGTTCACTTTTTATTTTTGCATTTCTACCTTTTTCTGGGATCACTTTTCTACTTCTCTTTGTAAATCCCCCATGTGCTTGTTTCTTATAAAGATTATTATATTTCATCCCACTATTGAATGTTAGTTTTTTTGAGTACACAATTTTAAGTGCACAGTATTTTTTCTTAACAGTTTATGGAAGCTTTTTCCACTGTCTTCTGGCTTCCATTATTGTTTACAAAATCCACTGTTACTCTAATTATCATTATTTTTATATGTCATCTGTCTTTATCTTTCTGCTTTCCAGATTTTCTATTTATATTTGATGCAAACAGATTGACTATGAGGACAGGGTATGAATTTATTTATTTATTTATTTATTTATTTATTTATTTATTTATTTTATC